TTATTTGTACTTCACTAATGTTAATGGCCACTTACTCATCTTTATATTAGTTCTGTGTTTTGATTATTGTTTTAAGGAAAATATCTATTCTAATACTTTGCATACTTTGAATTGAATTGTGTTGTCTTTTTTTTTTTTTTTTTTTTTTTTTTTTTTTTTTTTTTAGCCCTGGCTGTCCTGGAACTTGCACTGTAGACCAGGCTGGCCTCAAACTCATAGTGATCTGTCTGCCTCTGCCTCCCAAGGGATTAAAGCTGTGCACTATGATTGCCCAGTTGTGTTGTATTTTTATTATTGAGCTTTGGTCTTTGTTTTGCTTTGTTTTGGTTTTAAGAGAGGGTCTCACTATGTATCTTTGGCTGGCCTCAGACTTATAACATCTGTCTGCCTCTGGTTCCTGAGTGCTGAGATTAAAGGCATGAGTCACCATGCCCGGTCTTTATGGAGTTTTAGGACATATAAATAGATGATAGAAAGACACAGAGATAATAGATAGATAGATAGATAGATAGATAGATAGATAGATAGATAGACAGACAGACAGATGTGTTTTGACTGCATCTATGTCTGTGTTCAAGGTGCATGCTTTGCTCTTGGAAGCCAGGAGAGGAGTCAGATCCCCTGGAACTGGAATTACAGATGGGTGTGGGCTACCAGGTAGATGCTGAAAATTGGACCTAGATCCTCTGGAAGAGCAGTGAACCACTGAACCCTCTCTCCAGCTCCTCCTTTACATATTTTAGATATAAATTCCTTATGCCACATATGGTTTACGACCACTTCCCATTCTCTCACTTGTCTTTGTACTGTTTCACTGGTGTCCTTTACAACAGAAAATACCTAACTTACCCAGCTTTTCTTCTGTTGTTCTCACTTTTGGTGGCATCTGGAAAATCATTGCCTAATCCACTGTCATGACTACTTACTCCTATGATGTTCTCTATAGTTTTGTAATCTTAGTTTTATGTTCAGGTTTTTGACCCAGTTTGTGTTGGTTTTATGTGTGCTATGAAGGATGGGAAATTCATCCCTTACCCCTCTCCTGGCTTCTGGGCTTGTAAATGAGTCATTTCAAACACTTTCTTTCCCCCAAATGTGATTCTGTGACCTTCCCCACTCCCATCTTGGTTTTTCAAGACAGGGTTTCTCTGTGCAACCATCCTGGTTGTCCTGGGACCCTCTTTATAGACCAGGCTGGCCTTGAACTCTCAGAGATCTCCTGCCTCTGCCTCCTGAGTGCTGAGACTAAAGGTGCACACCATTACCACACAGCTCTCATCTGAATGTTCTTGATATGATTAATCTGCAAAGACCTGATTTTTAAAAGTCATATCAGTAGGTACTGGGAGTTGGTACTTGGACATAATGGGGACCAGTGCTTACTTGTCCTGTCAACTTCTTGTCTTACAAGGCCACTCACTCCTCTGGCCACATGTTTATCAGTTGCCTCAAAAGGAGGAGCTGGAGAGACAGTAACAATGTATACAGGGTTCTATCCCGGAGAGTTCCTGTGTCTATTTGGGACACTAGCAACAAATACAAGGAAGAGGCTGGCAAGAGCCTTAGGATCAGAAGGGAAAGAACAAACGGAAGCCCAGGCTTTGACAAGGAAGCCAGGGAAGGATCTGGAATGACAGTCAGGAACACAGGAACACCACTACTGCTGAGTAGGGGGTTGGGTTGTGGGAAAAACAAGAGCAGAAGGAGGGAAGTCGTCACTCAGAACACGGGCCCTGACTGTTACAGCCCATCCACTTCAGAGTATGTGATGAATCTGAATGCAGGACACCACAGCCATATGTTCAGCAGCCCGCACTACTGGCCTGATGGTCATGTTGACCTGCGGGTAGACAATGTGGGCTCGCCATTAGTCTCTTATACCTTCCCTGGAGCTCCTGCAGAGCCTTTTCCCAGAACCAGTTTAACACGCTAGTCTACACTCACGCTGAAGGCGGTCGCCATCTCACTTCCTCACTTGGCGATAAAATTTCACCTTGGCAAAGCAATTCCCAAACTTCCTTTCTCTCACACAGTTTCTTGCTATAAACCCTTGCCACCACAAACAGGATGGTGAATGTCACCATCTGTGTGCCATGGCACATTTAGAGGTGACTGTGGCACAGCTGTGGTCAAGAAGTACTTTTGCTCCAGATCTCAGAGCCAAGGAGAGGGCCACACAGGGAGAGGGAGGGCCATGTGTGGAAAGGAGGGTCACACTGGGTTGGACCTGGTGGTGGTGGGGGCTAGAGAGTCTCAGTTAAAGAGGTATTACTCACCCAGTTGGACCTTACCCTTAGCCTCTCCCTTCTGGAAGGCAGAAGCTAGGGACAAAGAGGAAAATGGATTATTCACATCATAAAAGCTCCCTGGGTCTTCAGCCAAGGAACAGAAAGTCCCATAGAAATTTACACACGGTAGTTTGAAGGGCAGCATATCCCGGAAGCAAGACAATAAGCAGAACTGTGTTGGAGCAGCCATACCACTTCATCCACAGAAGAGCAGGTTGGAGTCCATTTGGGAAGAAACCATTGAGTGAAATGTTTTGACACAGGAAAAGCATGTGCTGAGGGTATCCACCCCCACCCCCGCCAAAGTCAGCTCTGTGACCCAAAGGTCAGTAAGTGTGGACGTGAACATGTGACATTGAATATGGAATATGTAGGAAGTTCACTCCTCTTAGGCACAATTTTTCCTCGGGTTCAGAAGGAAGCCTGTGCCATTCTCCACCAGCGTCCCTTTTCTTGTAGCTCATGGTCTGCACCCTCAATGCATCAGAAAGTCCCTCTGAGACAGTCCAAGAGCCCTCAGTCCCTCTCCAAGTCACACTGGGAGGAGGACTCCCAGGGTCAGCTCCACAAGCCAAAACCAGCTGAGTTCTGAGAGAATTGGGAGCCACAGTAAACCAAGTCAGGCCACTTGGTCTACAGTTTTGGCTCCAACATGAACAAAGTCTGGTGGCTTGGAACATGCCATATCAGTGGGTCTCCATTTTCTCTCTGTAAGGTAATCCAGGATCATTTGATTTTTGAGACTTTAGGAGACTAAATTTAGTGCAGTGTTTTGGCAACCTTGTCCTCTACCTGTTTTGTAAATAAGGTTTTAATAGAACATAGTCTCATCTATTCATCACATACCACCTCTGGCTGCTTTGACACTTCAGTGACAGAGTTGGGTAGCGGAGACAGACACCCACCATGTGGCCTACAGCTGCAAATATTTAATATCTGATCCTTTAAGGCAAAAAGTTGGGCAACCACAACAACAGGGAAACTGAGGCAAAGGGAGAAAGGAATATTTGCCGAAACTCTTAAAGTGAGTCAGGGCAGAGAATGGTTTCTTCCTGATTTATATTGGCAAGAAGTTCTTACTTGGCCCAAAGCTCAATACCTGATCTAAGCTGTTCTGGAGAAAGAGCGAGCCAGGAGGCAAGTGGCCTGTTCCCGGGGAGAGTCTGTGGGGGTGGGGTGGAGCCTGAGGCCCCAGGGGCAGGGACAGTTCTGTAAGGCTCAGTGTCAGGCTGCTGCACTTCTGAGAGGAGCCAGGTGACGCTCTTGAGAAGTGGTGGTTCAGCAGGGATCTAATGAGAGCTGCCCCCACCCCAGGACCTTTTAACCACAGGTCACCCAGGTCTAGGTAAACGTTCCTTGGCTTTTGAACCACAAGGAGACATTTCTCCTTGCCTCTTTACTCACTGGCTGTTTCCTCCTTCTGCCATTTATTAATCTTGCTGGTTAACCATTGAACCCAGTGCAGCCTCCTCTTGTTTCCAATCCTGTTCTCCCTGTTGGCTTCAGAAAAGGGCTCTCACTAAACAAACCTACTGTTTTTTTCTTTCTTTTCACAGCTGAAGTCGCTGATAAAAGATGTGGGGCTGGGGTTCTGTTTGCTGAAAAGACACTCCCCCAAACCTGTGCCCTCGTGAGGAGTTGAGAAGTCGTACCCAGGGAAGGCCAGGCCATGCTTAGAAAGAAATCCATCAGCTGTAACACACACACACACACACACACACACACACACACACACACCCAGAGAGAGAGAGAGAGAGAGAGAGAGAGAGAGAGAGAGAGAGCACACAGAGCACACACATGTATACAGCACACACACAGAGAGAGAATACACACACGCACATAGAGCACACACATATGTATGCACTAACACACACATGCAGCTTAATTGTGTGGCATAATTTAGAGAAGGAATTTATGAATTTTCATCATTGAAAACATCAAATTCCATGTCTCTAAACACAAAGTACCATTTGGATTTAGTGCCCTCCCCCCATTAAAGAGGCATGGTAGAGGGAAAGGGCCATTCCAGTTGGGGGTGGAGTGGAGGAAGAGAGCTGGAGGAAAGGGGAGGGAGTGGTACAAAGGAAGGGCTTTCTGAGCAGAGGTCTATGGGGTTTGACGTCAACTCCACGTTCCCTTACATACTTAGAATTCTCTAGAGCATCAGCCCTGTGAGGCCAGCATTGTGTTTATTCACTACCATATCCCCAACACCAAGCCTTGTGTCTGGCAAGGAGTAGGTGCTTGAATATCTGTTAAATGAATGAGCGGCTGGATACAAATCTGTGGCCTGGTCACTAATTCCAGTCTTCTGGGGGTGATGGAGGCTTCACTTGTCCACTCATTACTTTTTCTCAAGTATTCAGAAGCCTCTGCCCAGTTGGGACAAAAGTCATGAAGGACAAAGAGAAGGGCTCTCCTGAACCATTAGCACAGCTCCAGGGAAAGCTAACAGCTTGTCTGTCAAACACTCAGGGACAATGCCCAGCACAACTCCTTACCGTGGCTTTCTACCTGCCATTGAAAGGGGCGGGTTTCCACTGTGGGCATTGCTACTCTACTGACTCCCACTGGCTGTGCGTAGTGTGTGCTGGACTTTTCATCTGTATTTTCCCTTAGTACTCATGATAGCTTTGCTATGGGGTGTGACCCTTTATAGTTTAGGAAATGGGAGGCAGATGGATTTGTCAAGGTTGGAGAACACTGCTTGACCTGTCCTAAGCTTGTCTGTTGCCAGAAATGCCACTTCTCTCTTGACCTTGGTTTCTATATTCTCAAATCCAGAGAGATAAACAAAATCATTTAGAAAAAGATCCTTCCACAGGTGGGTCTGTAACAGGTGACTTTATTTTCTCAGAGGTCACAACTTAATTTTGTTTCTTCCTCTTTTTTACTTATTTTTATTTCATTGGTGGCTTGCCTGCATGTGTGTCTGTGTGAAGGTACTGGATCCTGGAGTTACAGACATTGTAAGCTGCCATGTGGGTGCTGGGAATTGAACCTGGGTCCTCTGGAGGAGCAGTCAGTGCTTTTAACTGCTGAGCCATCTCTCCAGCCCCTTAATTTTGCTTCTTGAAGGTAAAAGAAGAACACCATTAATTGAAAGCTGCTCAAAATGTTCCTGGCTTTCTCAGCTTGAGGACACTTTTGAACATGCTGCTAAGGCCTGACCCTGCTCCTTTTCTAAAAAGCCACCCTTTAATCTGGGCTCTGGGTTCAGTCAGGCAGTAACCTCTCATAGTGGTTCCACACTGGTTCAGATTGCTTCTGTGTGGAGGTGAAAGCAGCCAGCCCCTTCCAGAGGGAAGTTCCTGGCCTCAGACAGCCTCTGAGACCCAGCTATTTACTCCTGAAGAAAACTTTACACCTTGAGATGTCTGAGATGGCAGAAGGAGGTGGCTCTGAAATGGTGGGGATCCTGGGGAGCCAGCATCATCGCTCAAGGTGTGCTAGAGTCAGTCCTTCTTGCCCACCTGAGGAGAGAGGAATTTGAGAATTCTCAGCACCAAGAGGAACACCGCTTCAGTTTCCCGGCTGCTTCTGCATCACAGACCTCAGTGAAGACCAAGTGAAGTCTAGTCTAGCTGGTGCAGCCAGAGGTTGGGAACCATTGCTCTCCCTTCTTCACAGCTGACCTGGGAGCCTGCAATGTTTCCACCTAGAGCTATAAAGGAGCCACTTACCAACCCTGACCCCCTAGCTGGTGGGAGAGCTGACATTCACTGGAAACTAAGCAGCTGCCTGGATATCTGATAAGTCCATTAGGAAAGAAAAGGTTGTAGTTTGTGCTGGTCCAGAGAACCAAAACCTGGGGCAGTTATTTGAACATTTGGGCACTTGATTTAGGCTGTCTTGAGAGCCAATCATGCTAAGACAAGGCCATTAGTCATGTCCCTGCTTTGTCCTGAAACATGTGTGCATGTGTGCATGCAAGTGAGTTTGCATAATAAGTAAGTAAAATGTACTTAAGAATTTGGGGAGGGACAGGGTCTCAATATTTACCTATGGTTGTCCTGGAACTTACTATGTAGACCAGTCTGGCCTTAAACTTCCTGCCTCTGTCTCTCGAGTGAGAGCTGGATTAAAGGCACCATGAAGAGATTAGGATATGAGTGAGGGCCTTGCTGTCAGCAATGGTATTTGTACTCTTAGAAGACTCTGGAGGAAGTGTGTTTGCTCGTCTTGCCAGAGGAGGGCACAGAAGGTACCATGTAAGAGACCAGATGTCAGGTGGGATGGTACCTTGATTTCAGATTTCCTCACCACAGGAATAATGAGCAAAACATTCTGCTGTGTATAAATTCCTTAGTTGGCGTATTTTGTTCCAGCATCTTGAATGTACTGATACCGACTACACACACACAGGACAAAATTGCTCTGTTGCTCTGTATGTGAATCAATTGCAGTTCTAACAGACGTGATGCACTTTTGAGGTGTACTTCATGTGGCTTTTGGTACATATATGCATGCATTCAGGTTGAGTGAACACATGTGGGCACAACTGCTAGAATATGCTTGTGTTCAGCATTAGTTGATGATGAGGTCAAGTATGGATTAGTACTAATTTACATGGACTACTACTTCACTGATATTCTATAGATGCTCCTCAGATATCCAGTGAATAGCAAAGGTTAGGGATCCTACCCAAAGCTCAGTGAGGATAACGGTTGAGATATGATGTATCTCCATGTCCTGTCTAGCTTTATGTCAACCTGACCCAGTAGACTCATTTGGGAAAAGAGGCACTGAATTAAGAAGATGCCCCCATAAGACTTGCTTGTACATAAGTCTTCCGGGTATTTTCTTAATTAATGATGATTGATGTGGGACCCAGCCCACTATGAGCCGTGCCATCCCTGCGCAGGTGGTCCTGGGTTCTACAAAAAACAGGCTGAGCAAGCCAGTAAGCAGAACTCTTCCATGGTTTCTGCATCAGTTCCTGCCTCTAGTTCCTGCCCTGGCTTTCTTGGATAATGGATTACAAGTGAAGATGCAATAAACCCTTTCATCCACGAGTTGCTTTTGGTCATGGTTTACCCACAGCAGTAGAAACCCTAACTAAGACTGTTGGCAACTAGCAAAAAAGCACGTTGGCCTAAAAACAGCCATTTTGACTTCAGACTCCATTTTATCTGTGGAGTGAAACAAAGTTCAGGTTCCCAAGCCATAGGGGAGCTGGGAACCTTCTAATGCCTGATGCACCGCCTCCTTAAACCATAGAAATAGTCGTTATGCATCTTTAGTTCTTTAGAAACATTGTGGCTGTTCCTAACAGCAGAAGAACAAATGAATCTGATTGGTTGGACTGAAAAGTTTACATTGTATGTCAGTCAACAATGATAGAACATTCAAGGAAGCCCCTAATCTCTAAATCCTGATTAGTGAAAACTGAAACTATAACTTGGCAACAATCATTTGCGATTTTTGTGCTTAAATACTTGCTTCAACTGACATTCCGGGTGGCAGTTCAGTTCTGTGGTCCTGATCTATCCCCCTTCTTTGTGCTGCCCTGCATTAAATCTTGCCTTCCAGTAACCTCTTGTGCCTGCTTGGGTTGAATGGAACCTCAGACCACAACAAGACAATCTCAAAGGACTTATGTGTTGAAGGCTTGGTCTCTAGTTTGTAGTCCCATTGAGCAGTAGCTAGATCATGACAGTGCTAATCTCATCAACAAATGAATCCAATGAGCTCACAGCTGAATGAGATAGCATTTGGGGCCTGGTTGGAGGCGGTAAATTGCTGGAGGCATGCCTTCTTGTGCCAGGTCCCTTCCTGTCCTGACTCCAGCTTATCCCTGGCCATCATGCTCTTCTACCATGATGCTTCTGCCTTGCTACTGGCCTGAGCACCAAGGATCTAGCCAACCATGACTGCAGCTCTGACCCTGTGAGCCAAGACAAATCTTCAGGATGCGCTCTCTGGCCTTGCCAAGTGATAAGAAAACTAACCAACACGTTAAGAGCAAGCCAGCCCCACGGCCCATCCTTACTTTCTTATCAAAAGTTAACAAGGCTTACTTTGAAACACTTTGAAACTCTTAGCAGACATGGAGGAAGGAAGAGGAAATGGCAGAGTAGACTATTTTGGCCAAGAGTCTCATCTTCTGCTGGTGGAGAAGTAATGTGGGGATTTCTGTCCCTTGGCACAAGATCTCCCTCTGATGGAATGTCCCCTTCCTCTGCCCACAGGTGAGTGGCAGACATCTTTCAAGATGTATTTCAGTATTGTCCTACGTTTCAGCAAGTTGTGCCCTGTTTTGTAGGCAGAATCAACTCACCCTGCTCTCCCCCTCCCCCCAGCCTGTGAGGATGCTGTGCCTTGAGGACCACAGAGCCATTGGTCTATGTGCATCCTTACTCAGACCAGTGAGTAGACTGTATACTGCTTGTTCTTTATTCTTCAAACAGAGCGGTCTTTACATAAAAGATGCTCAATCAGTGCCGATGGTGGTAGTCTGTAATGTGACTAAATTAGCATGGTATGTGACAGAATTAATAAAGGCATAAAACTGTAGGAAGAAATGCATGCTGTTCTGATTACCTATTACATGATAGCCCATCCCAAACACAGTAGCTTTACACAGTCATGTATGGACATCTCATACAGTGGGCATTGAGTGGATTCAGCTACTGTCCAGTTCTGGCTTGGTTACAGTTAGATGATGGTTGGGACAGGAATTATCTAGACACTCCATTGGACTGAGCATCCACAATGGCCCCTTTCCCACATGTTTGGTGCTACACTGTAATGGCTAAAGCAACAAGTGCCTGGGTGGCAGTCCTCTCCACACGGCCAACTTAGGAGTTATGAAAGTGGGACAATATATGGCCATGGCTTTCCTTCCATGACTGTATTTAGAGATTTGGGCCATAGCAGCAAGGCATCCTGTGACATCCTCAGAAGACACACAGCATTACTATTGCCACTCATGAATGGTCAAATGTAAGTCCTACAGCTGGGTGGATTAGGAGGTGGGGACTTGGCAGAGACATGATACAAGTTGTTATGGTTAATCTCTTGTCTAGCTGGACTGGGCTTGGAAATATCTAGGAGATTGGTAAAGCACACCTTGGGCATTCTCTGTGGTGTATTCTCATGAGTGACTAGATCCTGAGAGCTTCGACCTAATCAGTGAGTTACTTCCTTGTTGGCGTCATGGTGGCACGGGGGGAGGTGCTGAAAAGTAGTAGGTGGGGCTCACTTAGATGGAGGAAGTATATCCTTGGGGACATGTTCCTGAGGGCTATATCTTGCCTTGGTCCATTTCTGTAGTCCTTTCCTCTGCTTCCTGTCTACAATGAGGTGAACAGTCTCTGTCACATGTTTTTGCTTCTGCAGGCCCAGACATAATAGACCCAGCACACACCTATATTCCAGTACTTAGGAAGCAGAGGCAGAAGGCCAGCCTGGGCTACTTAGCCAAACCCTTTCTCAAATCAGCATGAACCATAAAACAAAACTCTGAGAATAATTAATACAGGGCAAAAACACCTGATGTAAAATATGTGTCTTTAAATAAAATACTTTATTTTAAAATAATTTTCACTAGGGTTTTGAGCCTCACACAACCATATATCTTAAGATGGTGAACCCTCAAAACTTTGGGAGTGCTGGACAGTGGTGGTTTGTACCTTTAATCCCAGCACTTGGGAGACAGAGGCAGCAGACCTCTGTGAGTTTGAGGCCAGCCTGATCTACAGGGCAAGCTGCAGGACAGCTAAGGCTACACAGAGTACACAGAGAAACCCTGTCTCAAAAAACCAAACCAAACAACAACAACAACAAAAAACAAAAAAACCAAAAAAAACCTTTGGGAGCAAATCATGAGTCTCTACAAACTTAAGAAACCAGATTGGGAAACTGGCCAGATTCCATGACACACCTATAAGAAGCACTTACTTAACTAGGGGGCAGCTCTTCAAGCATTTAGTACAGTCTGCAGCAAGTTTGGTTCAGTTGTCCATTCTATTCAATTCCCTGAACCTAACAAAAGGAGCTAGGATTTGATGAGGGGCCAGCAGAGCATACAGAGTGTTCTTACATACAGAGTGTTCAATTCTGTTGTTCATAATAGTGAACAGTTAGGAAAGGACCTTGATTTTTATGTTAGTCAGCTTTGCATTATTGCAACAAAATGCTGAGATGATCAAAGTATAAAGAGAAACGGGTTGTTTTGGCTCACAGTTTGGAATTTTCTTTTTGTTTTTTAACGATCTTACTATGTATCTCTGGCAATACTGGAGATCACTATTATAGACCAGGATGGCCTTGAACATCACAGGATGGCCTTGATCTGCCTGCCCTCTGCCTCTGCCTCCTGAGTGCTGATATTAATGGTGTACAGCACTCCTGCCTGGCCATGGCTTGGAACTTTCAATCCATGATGGTTGACAGCTTCTTCTGGGTCTGGGCTGAGGCAGCACACCATAGTAGGACTGCATAGTAGAATGTTTATTTCATGGCACACAGA